TGTTTTTTCTTGGTCATGGGGGTTTTCTGTGGGAAATTTGGCCCAATTCTATCATTGCTGGGGTTCAGAATGCTCTTTGATTGTTGGTGAACTATAAATCCCAGCAGCTACAATTCCCAAATGTCAATGTCCAATTTCCCCAAACTCCACCAGTGTTCACATTTGGGCATATTGAGTATTCATGCCAAGTTTGGTCCAGATCCATCATTGTTTGAGTCCACAATGGTCTGTGCATGGATGTAGGTGAACTACAACTCCAAAACTCAAGGTCAAAGTCCACCAAACCCTTCCAGTATTTTCTGTTGTTCATGGGAGTTCTGTGTGCCAAGTTTGGTTCAATTCAATTATTGGTGGAGTACAGAATGCTCTTTTATTGGAGATTAACTATAAATCCCAGCAACTACAACTTCCAAATGACAAAATCAACTCCCTCCCCCAAACCACCCCAGTAATAAAATTTGGACGTATCGGGTATTTGTGCCAAATTTGGTCCAGTGAGTAAAAATAAAAATACAATTTACATTACGATTCATAGCAGTAGTAAAATTACAGTTATGAAGTAGTGATGAAAATAATTTTATGGTTGGGGGTCACCACAAAATGAGGAACTGTATTAAGGGGTCACGGCATTAGGAAGGTTGAGAAACACTGCTCTAATCTGTCAAGATCGTTTTGAATTCTGCTCCTGTCCTCTGGACTATTGGCTAATGGCTATCCCTCCCAGTTTGGTGTCGTCTGCAAACTTGATGATCATGCCTTCTAGCCCTTCATCTAAGTCATTAATAAAGATGTTGAATAGGACCGGGCCCAGGACAGAACCCTGCGGCACTCCACTTGTCACTTTTTTCCAAGATGAAGAGGAAGCATTAGTGAGCACTCTCTGTGTTCGTCCACTTAACCAATTACAGATCCACCTCACCGTAGTTTTGCCTAGCCCACATTGGACTAGTTTCCTTGCCAGAAGGTCATGGGGGACCTTGTCGAAGGCCTTACTGAAATCCAGGTACGCTACATCCACGGCATTCCCCGCATCTACATGGCCATATAGCAACAACCCAGTGATTCCGGCCACGAAAGCCTTCGACAATATATTGAAAAACTATCGCAAAATATGCTGCAGGATGTCCCGCAAAAACAAAGTTTGTGCAGGTTTAATTTTTCATGCTTTTATTATAGAACCAATTAGGAAATGACATTTATAATCCAGGAACAAAAAAATGTTACATAGTATAATAGGACTTGAGTATCTATAGATTTTGCTATCCATCAAGGGCTTGGAATAAAACCTGAACAGATACCACTGTATATATTTTGTTACTTTACACAAAATGCATACCAGGACCATCTATTTCTTTCTTCCCTGCCAGTCTTGCCCCTTGACCCAGTGCTACTTAAATCAGTGGTCCCTGAAGCACTGACAGTTTACAAGCCATCAGTTGTGAGTTCCTGGGAAGTTTCTGGGAAAGAAAGAAAAAAACTCGTATCTAGTTAATGAGCACCGATATGGTAGCAGTCTATGGAAAACTAGTCACAGGTCCGCAGTTTGGGTGTCCTCCTGGACTCATCACTTACGCTTGAGGCACAGGCATCGGCGGTGGCTGGGAGGGCCTTTGCACAATTAAGACTTGTGCGCCAACTGTGACCATACCTCGCAAAAGCAGATCTGGCCAGGGTGGTCCATGCCTTAATCACCTCCATATTGGACTACTGTAATGCACTCTACATGGGGCTGCCCTTGAAAACGGCTCGGAAATTTCAGTTGGTCCAACGGGTGGTGGCCAGGTTGTTAACTGGTGCTCCTTACAGGGAGCAGTCAACCCTCCAGTTTAAGGAGCTCCACTGGCTGCCATTTATTTTCCGGACCCAATTCAAGGTGCAGATTCTTACCTACAAAGCCCTGAACAGTTTGGGACCTGCCTACCTGCGTGACCACATTTCTGTGTACAAACCCANATGTCTCTTTTGTGTCTTAGCACAGTTAGAAGTTCTAACTGTTCTAATATGAATGAGTTTGTACCAGGAAGCAGGTATTGCAACTCCAATGTGATTTTACAAAGGAGTACCTATAAGTTCAAACATTTGCAGTGAGGCCCACCACATGCATCACAAATGGAAGAAAACCCATTTATCACTGATTCCAGAACCCATGGATATTCTTTTCATGGAAGCCTGCTTTGCCTGGCTTCCGTGAGGAAAGAGGGAGCAGCTCCCACTCAGCGAAGCTTTCCCCACCACATGGGGAAAGTGGTGGCCTTGTGGAGAGGCCCCATGGTGGCTCCATAGCACACAACACAAGAAACCTCCCATGTTGGGGTGAAAGCATCTGGGGTGCTTTCACTCCAGTTGGGGGCAGGGCCTACCCTGTAAGCCACACTATGTGGAACAATTGCAGCACAGGAAATTTGGGTTGTTCAAAGGCCTCTAAATGTAATTTGTGTCTCAGTTTTGGGTGACTCAGAATGGGTCTTTTGCCTTAATCTCATTTCTTTGGAGTAGTTGGGCTTTTAATATTTACATGAAGTAACATGTACACACTAGCCTGTCATTTTTATTGCTGCATTCTTTTTATCGCTGGTGGAATATGTATTTTTAGAGCATTTCTCTGTCACTCTATAGCCTCCTAGTATCCCAGGATCCCTGTAACGTTATACAAAGGATAAAAGCATTAAAACAAAATGTTAGTAAAACCTTTTGAATTTTAGAATATAGAAAAGGTTTTTACAAATGTGTGTAATAGGTTTTCACAGCACACACTTAAATGGCTCCTATCGTTTTCCATGTTGAATGAAAAAGGTGCAATAACAACAACATAAGTTATCCTCTTTGGCTATTTATAATAATTTTTTTAGCAGTATTTGCAAGTTATACATTTCCTGTTTCAAGCATGTTATTGCTGTGTCACTGACGATTGGTTCTGGGTTTTTTTGGGGGGTGGGGGCTGGCTGGCTGGTGGGAATTATAGTCCAAAATATTTGGAGGCACTACCTTGGGAAAAGCTATGTGAATTGCTATTCATATTCCACTTCATTGCAAAAGATCCTTTTCTGCAGCTATGACTTTTACTTTCCTTTTGTAATCTGAAAGCAGCAATAACTGTACTTAAAAAATTCCAAAATCAAACCTCCCAAATCCCTAATAGATTTCTGTAGCTGTGTT